CTACGGCTGGATCTTGAGCGTGTTCGGCTTCTCATTGATGTCGTCCGCCATCGCGAGGCGACAAAGCAGCGACAACAAGAGCAGATACAGCTCGTCCTGGCTCAGTTCTTCTACCCTCACGAGCCTGCCCTCAGGTTTGCATTCGAGAAGATATTGAGGTAGAACAGTTTATATGTAGTGACTTCGCATACACGATTGACCCACTGCACAGCCACGATCGTCAAGAATACTTCAAGTCACCCGTCAACAAGACTGAAGTTCCGGACTATTACGACATCATCAAGAACCCGATGTGTTGGGACACAATAGATCGGAAACTAGACAGTCATGAATACCTTGACTTGGCGCAATTCAAGGTATCTATCCATCGTGCATGAGGGTTGTGAGGTGGCTCAAATCGCTCCAGGGAGACATTGAGCTCGTAGTGTCGAATGCCATGACATACAATCAACCTAGTACACCATTCTACAAGACAGCTCTTCGGATACAAACAAGCCTACCAACCATCTTGGCAGATCTCGACAGAACACTGTCAATACGACCTACCCCCAAAGTCGAAGCACCAGAGTGTGGTCAGTTGTCACCGGATCTTCCGACAGATAAAGAGGCTGTCATCCCACCGTCCCCTCCAGAGCAGATTCCTCCAGACCAGGCACCCCCGTTGGTCGGGGACCTCGAACCACCTCTGGAAATCCTGGACTTGCTCATCTCAGAGGAGCTTGTGCGGCAGGACACCGACGTCGTCATGACGTCTGCGCCCATTCAGTCGCTCCTCAACTACGAGATGCCCAACATTCGGCCCCCGGCCCCTCCGCCGCCTGCTCCCAAGCCAAAGGTCAAGCCGACGAAGAAGAAGCCCAAGTATGACAGGAAGACGGCCCTCGAGCGCAAGCGGCTCGAGCGCCTGCGCGCGCTCGACTCCTCCCCTGGTTTCCGTGCTCCGCGGACGCGCGCCGCCATGGCCGCTGCGGCTGCGTTTGAAGCGGAGGCCACGGGCAACTCGGATGCGCCTGGCACGGACAATGGGGAGCCATCTTCCGCGTCCGCGACTGCGGAGGATGGGGCGGGCCCGTCGAGATCGGAGCGGAGCGCGAGGAAGCCGCGGCGGTCTGCGGTTCCGCCTTCTCAGGACGTGACACTGGCAGTCCAGGACGTGGACCGGCGCAAGTCGTTCGCGATGTTCGAGCACGGGTGGATCCTCCCCCCGAGCCAGAAGCGCGGCGGGCGCGCCCCTGTGGAGCGGCAGCCGTTACCGCCGCCGCGGAAGAGAGCAAAAACCTGTGAGGCGCATCACCTCGTGTATGCTGGATGCAATGCGCTGACTTATGTGCTCCAGCGCACGGAAAGTCCCAGCGGTCGGTTTCTGCATCGGCACCCACGGAAAGGGGGTCGTCGCGGGCCACCGAGAGTGTGGCGCCGGAGCAAACTGCACTGGAGGTCGCCTCTCACGGACCCCAGCCTGCGCCGAGTGGTACGCTTCCCTCGGAGTCCCCCGCGCCAAGTCATCCATCCACGGACGTTCCTGCGCCTGTCCCGTCGTCGTCGGACCCTCTGGCGGCAGAGGTGGTCGCTCCGACTACTTCCCCATCCGAGGCTATAGCTCCCGGCGAGCCGCACCAGGACGTTCCAGTGGCTTCTCATGCGGCGTCTCCCATCGCACCGGTCTCTGAACCTGCATTCGTTCCATCGGATACCGACCCTGCAACCATCGCATCCGTTCCTGAGACCACTTCAGTCACTATGAAGTCACCTTCTCCTGTTCCATCCGCTGTACCCACAGAGATTATCGCTGCACCTGCATCGCACGAGTCGGCACCGTTGGCAGAGCCGGCGTCCGCGGAGCTGCCCCTTCCCGAGCCGACCGCGACGGAGGGGGACGCAGCCATGGATGTTGACGGGGAGCTTCCTGCGGACGCAGCACGGGAAGCACCTGCTCCGGGCCCTGGCTTTCAGGCAGACGTTCCGATGCAGGCTCAGGCCGAGTCTGCACAGGCGCCTGAAGAACGGATGCAGGAAGTGGAGGAACATGCATTGGACCAACAAGGAAAGGGTGCGGAAGAGCCGACAGAACCGACGCTTGAAGAAGAGCGTGCTGTTGAAGCCTCCCTTGAAGATGTCGACAAACAGCCCGACTCCGTCGGGGAGGGGCAGATGCCCATCGAAGTGGACCAAGAGCCCGCACAGGAACAGCCGGCTGAACAACCAGACGAGCACCCGACGGACCCAGAGCAAGCCCCCGACCAACCGGCAGAGGAGTCGTCATCAGAGGAGGAAGACACCGGCCCACGCCGGATCATCATCATCGAGGAGCTCGACACGCCCGCGACGCGGCGCGAGAAAAACCTGCGCAAGAAGCTGGAGCGGCAGGCGGCGCGCGAGGCCGCCGCATCCGCGGGCCCTTCATCCGCAGGCCCGACTTCGTCCGTGTCCGCTGCCCCTGCGACGGCCTCCCGTCGCGGGCGGCAACAGCAACAGCCGCAAGCCGTTGCAGGCCCGTCGCGGCTGCCGTCGAGCACGGTGGACGACGACGACGAAGACTCGGATCTGACGGATCTGTCGGACATCGAGGGGTCCACGCAGCAGGGCGAGCGCGATGGCGAGGACATCCCGAGCGCGAGCGCGGCGAGGCCCGGCGTGCTGCAGCAGCCCGAACAGGGCCCGGTCGTGTTCCGCTCACTGAGGCGGGCGCCCCCGCGCCAGGCTCAGGCTCCCCCTGCGCCCGCACCTGTCGTCGAGCCGGGCGCTATCACCGTCAAGCCGGGGGAGAAGCTCGAGGGTGGAACACTAGGTGCGTCTTCATTTTCCTCGAGAATGTTGAGGCCTATTTCCCGTCGCTCGCACTCATCTGTTGTGCATGCAACAGTTTGGGCGAAGATCGGTGAGCACATTCTCCCAGGACCCCACAGGAAAGGAGTGAGTGCTTACGGCTGTCTCAGAGTCGTTCCCTTGGTGGCCAGCAGTCGTGTTCGAGGAGGACGACCCAGAGGTGCCGGAGAGCGTCGCGGCAAGAGCGCCACCCCCGAGCCCGACCTCGAGCTCGTCCGTTTCTACGAGAAGCGGCACATCAACAATTGGTATCTCCACTCCTCCCCCTCCCCTGTCCCTGCCTGCATTCCTCTGACTGTCCCATCAGGGCATGGGTCAGGCACAAGAACATGCGCTACCTGGGCGAAGACGACTGTACGTTCCATTGCAAGGTCCCCATACAGCAGCCCCAGGAACTGATATGCTATCTCTTTACAGCCCTCGACGCGCAGATGCTCGCGCCGACGAGCAAGTACCAGCGCTGGCGGAGTGCCGGGCGTCGGACAGAGTGCCGGCACGCGTACCAGTACGTCCCCCCTCCCTCTTTCTCTCCCGCTGCCGCGCTCGGACGCACGACGCTCACAGGGTCCGTTCCGCAGGGACGCGCTCGCAGAGATGGAGGCGGACGCCGAGCCCGCCCCCGCGCCTGCGCCGCCCCCGCACGCCTCGCTCCGGGGCCCCGGCCAGCCGGGGGCTGCCAGGCCCGATCGCAACGCGAAAGCGCGCCCGCACCCCGGGCCCGAGTCTGCGCTGTCGCGGCTCGCCGCCGCCGCGGCGGAGCGAGTGCCCGCCGCGCTGGACGCGGACAGCCCGATGACGGACGTGGATTCGTCCTAGGAGGCTGGCAGGGTGGTGTTGGCGTTGGTAGTGTACATAATAGGATGTACGTACGTCCGACTAGCTTATGATCTTGTTGTATTGTGTGCTGTCGTGCTTGATGTCATTGGACGTGTTTCTTGTTGGACTTTATGCTTCGCGCGCGGCATGTGTGGCAGCGCCGTGGGCTGACTTGGGAACCGTTGTGTGTGTGTGAGGCTCTACACGCCGGGAGGCCGGCTGCGCTACGGAAGTGTTACAGTACGATTGGGCAGAAGCTAACAATACACGGCGCTGGACTACAGCAGTTGATACATATGCAATGTCCATATCATCACTAGAGGAAAGCAACAGAAGCACACAACCCAGGGATGGAGAGGCAGTCGGGCGAGGTGGAGCAGGACAGTTGAGTGGGGGAGGGGTTTGGGGGTCTCAGACCTCGCCATGGAAGACTGACTGGGAGAACTGCGCGTCGGTGCTGCTCTCTTGGGTCATCAAAATCTCCTTGACCTGGGCGGGGTATCAGGACGGAAAATGCGGTAGTGCACTGCTGCATGCGTACCTCGGGAGGCGGGTTGAGCCCGAGCGCGTGCGCACGCTCCCACCGGTCGAGACGGGAGACTCCCACACAAGGGCCGTACTCATAGGACCTACCAATTTCCGAATAAGTCCGTACTGTCCCCGAGAGTGTGACGAGGAAACTCACAGGTCAAACACCCGGAGGATGTGGTGCACCATCGATTGGCCCTCTCCATGCACTGCCGGCGCGGGGTCAGCGACGGCCCCACAAGAGCATACAGCCGGACGGGCACACTCACCGGGCGGGAGGTATCCCATCTTCTCGCGCGCGAGACCGAACTGCTTCCTCCACCGCTTGTCGCCGGTGTTCAGCTTCTCCCTCTGCGGCTGGGGCACTGAAGGGGCTTGCTCCTCGTCGCAATCCTCGTCTGCTCTCTGCGTGACCTTGTGCCGCGGGGCGTTCAAGCGGCGCTTCTTCGTCGCTGGCGAGATATATTCATCGTTGAAGGACACATCGCTCTCGCTGTCGGAGATGTTGATAGGCTCAGCGGTAGGGATGGAGGAGGCCCGCCGGGAAAGAGCTTTCTGGGGCTTGGCTTGTTTGCCGGCAGCAGAGGATGAGGTTCGCTTGGAGGTAAATGAGAGCTTTGCCTGCTTCATTGCGGGCGTGCGGCTGCTGGAATCTGTTCGAGCTCGTGTTTGAGGAGGCATGTTGGCTGGGTTTAGTTGCCGTTGAGATACGATTCAAGCGGATGGGAGGAGGTGAGTGCGTGACGATCGTCAGTAGCACGGTGGTGCTAGTACTAGAAGTGGTGCGCTGTAAATACTGATCAATAAGAACATATGTATTAACGAGATATGGCCGACTAGCTCAGTTGGTTAGAGCGTGGTGCTAATACTGGAGTTGTGTGAGCAGCTCAAGCAACGCCAAGGTCGTCGGTTCGACCCCGGCGTTGGCCATTTTTGTCATTTCTGACAGAGCCTTCGATGTCCGTGGAACCCGGAGTTGTGTCCAAGTCTGTGCTCAAACTTGATTCGTCTGCTATACCCCGCTCCTCGAATTTCAGTCCTTCGTCCTTCACCTTCCCGATGCCTCACAAACGAGCCAAACGCTCTGTCCGAGAGCAAAAGCGCCAGGAATCGTATGTAAGGCCCTCCTCACGCATACTTCGCACACCAAATCATTGCTTTGCAGGGGTGATGATGTTGCCCCTGCCGCGAAGCGGTCCATCGAGAACGAGGAGATTCCGAAGAGCGCTGCGCGCGTTTTGAACGCAGCCAAGATCCAGCAGGAGTGGGCGGAGAAGAAGAGAAAGGGGCAGACAGACGATGGCGCGGGCCCGTCTCGCAAGAAGCGCAGAAAGGAGAGCGCAGGCGGGGAGGGCGGCGGCGAGACCAAACTGCGCATACAGCCGGGCGAGTCGATAGCGCATTTCAACCGGTACGTATGGTTGTTCATGGAATTGGCCGTTCTTCATGTGTATGGGTACAGGCGAGTCGAGGACTCCATGCGCCATTCCGTCCGCGAAGCGATGCAGACGTCGTCCGCGAAAATGCGCAAGGCGCGCAAGGAGGAGCTTACGCAGGCCGCTAGTACAAAGCCCACCCCTGACACAACATCCAGCGCCAAGTCTCGTGGGCGGAGTGACGACGACGCATCCGACTCAGACGACGAGCGGCCCGCGCAGCGAGCAAAGACGAGGGACGACAAGCCGAAGGACTTTGAGAAGATATCCTCGTCCGCGCCGAAGCGGTTGAACGACATCGTGCAGGCCCCGCCGGTGCTGAAGAAGCTCCCGCGCAAGGCGAAGAAGCTCGCGGCACAGGGCGGGGCGCAGAAGACGGGGGGTACGAAGTCTTTACGGGAGGGCGTGCTGTCCATGGCGCAGAAGGCGATGATGGAGGAAGAGCGGGATCGTGCGATTAGGTTATACCGGGAGATGAAACGAGGGAAGACGACAGCATAGGTGGTCTATGTATGTTTCCATGCATCACGTACATTCATTCTTCTGACGAGTTATGTAGTGTTGGGCAATCTGCTCAATAATCTTTGCTTTAGCACACAATGTTGGAGGTGCGGCCAGGCCATCGGTGGACCGCTATACTTTCACAAACTGGCTTTTTATAACGCCACTTGTCTTGCTGAATCACCTATTTGAACGATCATGAACAGTCAGCATCGGGAACCGGTTGTGTCGGTGCACCAGATATCCACGCGTTCCGCCGGCCGTATACTGTGGCAATGTGGCTACAGGCAGGAACGTTCAGGTCAACACATGGACGTGCAGTTGTGGAACGGGTGAGTTATTAGAAAGCAGCAGACTAGAACAAATTGACTTGTATCCGCATGACCGGCGCGATCGACACAGTTCGCTACCCCCAACGAAAGAACAGGAGATCCAGTGCGCCTAAGTGCGCTTCCGCGGATATCGGCACATAAGCTGCCACATTCCAACATAATCGTCATAGCCGCGCGATCGAAATCACCGTCACCCCGCGAGTTCGATGGACAGGCAAGCCGCAGGGTTGGGGAAATGTGCGAACTTCTTTCTATAGGCGCGGTGCGTTCACGACAGAGCACACCGGCCTCCGCTCTCCTCGGCGTTGTTCACTGACTATCGATCGGGGTTGCTCAGACTCGGCACATAACTGCTTATGAGTTGGTATCGCCGGCGCCAGAGAACCTCGGCCTCCGTTTGAAGCCCTTTTGGGATGCTGGGGGTGCGACCCCGTACGCGGGCACCCCTGCCCTTGTCCTGGGTGACGCATCCGGTACGTCCCTATTCATGGCCTACTCCGGACTGGGACTAACTCACCCGTTCACGGCACCAGCATTCCAATCGGCCAAAATCGCGGGCCACAGCACGATCATCGCCACCTCCTCGCCGCACAACGCTCTCTTGCTCAAGTCCCTCGGCGCGACGCATGTGCTCGACCGCTCGCTCCCCCGCCACGCGCCCCCGAGCGAGGTGCGCGCCGCGACGGCTGGGCAGCCGCTGCACTTCGCGTTCGTGGCGGTCGCGACGCCGGACACGCCCCGCCTCGCCCGCGACGCGCTCGCACTTGGGGGCGCCCTCGCCGCGACGCTGCCCTCGCCCAAGCGCGTTCCGCCGGATGTGGCCGAGGCGGGCGAGGGGAAGCACCTTGGGTACGTGTTCGGAAGCGTGTGCTTCCCTCATACGCGTGCGGTCGCGCTGAGCATGTTCGCGCATATCGCGCCGTGGCTAGAGAAGGAGCTATTGAAGGTGCGTCGTGGGAGCGGTGCTCTCTGTGCTTGGTGTGCGGTGCCAATAGGGTGTTCGCAGTGGAGGTGCTCTCGAATGGTTTGGCAGGCATAAATGACGGCTTAGCCAGCCGAACAAGGTGTCCGGCTCGAAGCTCTTCGCTCACCCCCAAGAAACACCGTGAACTTCACGACTCTGAGCAATGTGTGATTGTAAAAATGCATCACCGTGGTGATACATAGTGTGTACAGTACAACGAGACATACAACCGGAACATCGTGGTCCTGTTATGTACATGTCGTGCTATACCCTCGCCGTGAAATGTCGGACACCAACAATCATGCTGACACATGTACAAGCAACGGGGCGTGACCGACGCAGTCGGATACTATCCCATGCACATTGTGGATCCAAGACGCCCACACGGCCACAACACACCTAGGCAGCTACCTACTGTAGGCCAACTCTACGGCCGCTAGCTGCGCGGTTTGTGTGCGATGGCGGAGATAGTGATCGCAGTGGCCGTGGAAGCGCTGTCCCGGCTTGCTCGTCCGTTCACGAAGCACGTCGGTCGGCGTACGCTCCCGTCGGCCCCATGTTGAGCTACGGTCTCAGATCAGGTGTGTATATATGTAAGTACCACTGTTTCCTTTTCGCACACCTATAGGCAGAAGGCTGAAGATGACGCTACCCACCACGCAGAGGTCCCTCGTCCTCAACGAGGAGAGCACGCCCTATGTGCTCGCTGAGACCCCCGTGCCCAAGCTGGGCCCTCAAGACATACTCATCAAGATACTCGCAAGCGCACTCAACCCGTCCGATTTCCACCTCGTCGACCCCCCGTTTTCCCACGTATTTATAAAGCAGTTCCCGCACGTCTCGGGGATGGATGGCGCGGGGTTTGTCGTTCAGGTCGGCGAAGAGGTCAAAAACCGCAAAGAGGGCGATAGGGTGTAAGCAATCCGCCAATCTATGACAGCTGATTGGGACTCAAAATTTGGCGTAGGCTGTTCCAAGGAGATTACAGCCACATTGGTGGCGGCACCTTCCAGCAGTATGCCGTTGCGCCATCAGATCTCACGGCCATAGTATGTTCTCACTTTGGCCTCACCGAGTCTGCTTGTTTTCTACCCGCTGACTGGTTCTCCCGATTCTGGATAGATCCCGGAGAACATCACCTTTGAACAGGCTGCGACTATCCCGCTCGCCCTGACCACTACTGTCCTTCTTCTCTACAATCAGTCGTCTGCTCCCCAGAACCTGAGTCTTCGCTTGAAGCCGGTCTGGGAACCTGAGGGTACAACAGCGTACGCAGGCACGCCTGCCCTCATCCTGGGTGGCTCCACCTCCCTCGGACAGTTCGGTACGCTTCCATTCCCGCCTGGCTAACCACCACCTGTGCCGACTACATCCACAGCGATCCAACTAGCCACGCTTGCAGGCCACAACCCAATCATCGCCACTGCCTCGCTGCGCAACGCCCCGCTGCTCAAGTCCCTCGGCGCGACGCACGTGCTGAACCGCTCGCTCCCGCCAAACGCGCTGCTGAGTGAGGTGCGCGCCGCGAAGGGCGGGCGGCGGCTCGAGTACGCCTTCGCGGCCGTCCTGGCCCCTGACAACCTCCGCCTCGCGCGGGACGCCCTCGCGCCGGGGGGCGCCCTCGCGGTAGTTGTGCCTTCGCCCACCGGCGTTCCACCCGACGGTGTGGACTCGGGTGCGCCGGCCTCCTCTGCCGTCGTCCCACCCGACGTCGCGGACCCGGGCGAGGGCAAACGAGTCGGGTACGTGTTCGGGGACGCACACTTGCCGCACACCCGCGAGACGTCTGTCGCGCTCTTCAAGCAGATCATGCCGTGGCTCGAGCAGGGCGTGCTCAAGGTGCGGCTAGCATGCGGTTGGGTGCAGGGCTTAGAGTTGTGCTGACGGGGTGTGTATAGCCATGCCCTGTGGAGGTGCTCCCGAACGGGCTGGCCGGTATTAACGACGGCTTGGCGAGGCTCAAGGCCGGCAAAGTTTCCGGCACGAAGCTCGTTGTGCGCCCCCAGGAGACACCGTGATCATGCCGAGCGGTCTCTAACAAGTTGGACCCCCTGTCGGTTTCAAGTGCCATGACGAACCCCGTGTACGGCCTTCCCGGACGAGTGATTGTTTAGAGCCTATGCACGATTAAGAAAGTGCATATACCCCAATCAAAGACCGTTGTAACCCCCAGGTTTATTCATCGCGAGAACGTGTGTCGCTTTGCCACAGTTTTGCATGAGGATAAAAGTAGGCGGTCCACCCGCTTTCAAGCATTCCTCCTCCCCCTTTAACACGAGGTAGGGTCGCGGGACGGGACTTTCCAGGTGCAGACGTGCGGCCAACAAGGTGTACTCGTGTGTCACAACCCTGCGCAGGTTACACTGCCAACGGCACCGTCCACAATATGCTTCGAATGCGCGGAATGCCGTATACGGTCACGGGGACACATCGGGGACGCCTTACCGGCACTCCGACACACACGGCGAAGTATCGACTAGATTGACAATACCCCTCAATGTTGCGGCGGCATACATGGAGGACAACAAGCGCAGCGAACCGCAGGGACGACAAACAAGGCCGTACTAGAACGGTCACCCAGCCCGGGTTGGGGTACGAGAGGAACACGGGCTCGTTGGCAGAGGAATGGCGTAGGATCAAACATTCACTGAGACATTCCTTGTCACAGACAGGTGGGACTAGAGCTCCTAACCACCG